GCCCCGCTCCGGGCGTCGGCCCCACGCCCGCCCCCGGCGCCCGTGGAGGCGGAGGCGGCTGCGCGGGTCGACCTGCGCACAGGAAGCACTTGCTCACGCACGGAGCAACTGCGCTCTCGGCTTATTTCAAGGAACTTTATGTAGGGCTGGATGTGATGAGGCCAAAAAAAATTTTTTTTGCTACTGTAATGTTTCGCTTCTTTCATTTGTTGTTCTTACAGTGTGATACTCATAGTTAAATTTATGGCTTCTAGATTGTCTCTGATTGTTGTAATTTTTATGAAACTCGCTTAAACCAAAATGTTGTTAGGTAATTACTTATACCTCGAAATCGCGTCCGTGTGTTTTGCATTTGGACCCTTCAATGCAATAGATAGAAACCCAGATCCTTCAATAGGAAATATAGTGTTAACCAATATGCATAATTTTTGTCTGCCAAAGCAGAAACAAAGTTTTTGTACATTCAGACTTGTTTTATGCTACTTTTTATGATCAAATCTGTTCTGAGTTTCCACCGTGATTTTTTTTGGGGGGGGGGAGACATTTAAAGTTTTCTTACTTTCTCGTACATCTGTTCTGAGTTTTGACCATGCTTTTCTTGGTGGGGGAGACATTGAAAGTATTTCTACTTTCTCGCCTACATTACTTACGTAGATAAATTAGTAAAGTGGATAAATGTGACTCCTGTATTTAGTAAAGTACTTCATTTAATTTGTTTAGTTAGAATACACGTTTCCTAGGACCTTGATGCCACGAAGTTGGTTTATGGCAAAACGTCTATCATCTATCAGCCTGTCAATCTGTACGCCTCTCAATCTGTCTATCCGTGTGGTGTTTTGAAAAATGCAAAAATTACAAACAAGGCGAGCGGTGTGCTGTTGTAGCACTACTAAATGATTTACGAAATGACTATTAGCACTAGTTTTTCGTGTGTGAAGCAAACAATATCGAAGTTTATCATGAAGTATGTGGTCACAAAACCAATATTCCTAATTTCTTCGATGCTAACTTAAACTTAAATACGGATTTTAAATATTGATTACTTTCTGCGAGATAACATATTTACTTGGTGTTCTGTTTTCCCTACTGTTAGTAGGGGTTATATGAAAAAAAATTTGGAAAATACTCTAGACGGCTAGTATTTTTATAACACTTGTATCTATTACACGATATTACCTTCCCGCAAATATCGAATATTTATCCAAGTTGAATTTAATGGACTTAGAGCATTACTTGTATAATATATATTCTTAATCATTTATAACAGTAAATGTGTGTTCATAACCAACTTTAGTTGTTAGGCATACTGATGAGTAGAGATTAATTTTGCAGTCCCTTAAAACCTTGAAGGAAATTATTTTAAAAGTTACTTACCTGCGTTACCCGGAGTAGCAATATGGCCATTGGTGTACAGAGGTTCCTGCAAGAAGAATAATGTTAGCAAGAAGTGTAGACAGATCTTACAGACTACATTTTCTTAAGAAGAGGAAAAGGTTGCCTCTAATGTAGTAACTGATGTATTAAGGAAAAGCGCTCTATACTTGCTGCTATATTATGCATAGAAAATTTTGTGTTTCGACAACAGAAATTATGAATTGTTCTAATAAGCATCTTAGATTGCCCTAAGATGACAAGGACATGTATATTATTTATTAAACTTTATTATTTATTAAATCAAAGATATTTACTTTGTTGTATGAATTGAAAAGTTCAAGTTTGTCAATCTTTGTTCCTTGGAAACGCCACCGTTTAGAGAAATGTCTAAGCTAGAGGTGTCCACTTGATTTCGTAGTGTAAATAACAACTAATATATTTACTAATTATAATAATAGTGGAAGGAGATATTGAGCGTGTACGTAAATAGAGGCGCCTCCAACCTCAGGGGTTAGACTTGAAAGCCCGGGCCATGGGGCGCAGCGGTCTCACCTGCGGCGAGCGTCGCGGGGCGGCGTCGACGCGCTCGGGGGCGCCGCGCAGCCCACTGGTGTGCCACGATCTCCGGGGCGCGGGGCGCGTGGGGGCTGGCGGGGCCCGCCGCCGCGCCGGGGCCAGCGTCGCGCCCGTCCGCCCGCCGACCCCGTCGCCCGGCCGGCCCCGCGCGCCCCGCCGCCTCCCCGCCGCCGTTGCCTGCCGCCCCCGCGCGGCCTCCAGCCCAGCAGCTTGCGTCAGCGAGAATTTTGGGCTTGGGCGCCCTTTCTGCCGGGCGCGCGTTGGGCTGGTGTCGCCGTCGCGCCCGGCGGCCGGCGGGTTGGGGCGCTGGCGTCGGGGCGCGGGGCGGCGGGCGGCGGGGAGCGAAGGCTGGAGTCTGAGATTGGGCCGGGGGGGCTTGGCCGGGGGGCGAAGGCGTGGATGTGGGGGCGGGAGCGGGCGCTGGGGCGGGCGTCACCGCAGGAGGTGCCTCCACGACCACTGGGTGCAGCTTCAACGTCGTCGGCCTTTCCACTGCTTTCTCTTTCTCCGCCTCCACCTCCGGCTTCTCTTCTTCCGCCGCTTTGTCTTTCTCTTGTCTCTCGTCCTTATCAGCCACAAGCTCGTTTTCGTCTTTCTTCTCTTCTACGAGCGGCGTCGCCGACACCGCTTCCTCGACCTGCGAACAGGGTGTTCCTCAGGGTTGTGTTTCATGACATTATTACTTATACGAGACTCGACATTTTAAGCACAAAACGTTCACGCACTTCATTAAGGTTTCGAAGTAAACCCATGAAAGTTGAATATTGAGTAGTAAGAAATGGATCGTTCTTATTGTATTCCATGTTTACCCTATTTAAATATAAGGGCTGTAATTAGAATAAGATGCTTTCTTTTTATTTTCAAGCATTCTATTCTGGCTCTAAAAGGGATGGGAATAAGAAGGAAGAACGTCATATATTCATTACAATTGAAATAAGAATAACAATTATTAGAGACCCGGAAAAGAATGTCTCCAAGGAGATTCATAGCAGAAAACTGAGAATGCTACTTGTAGTTTCTGCATAATCGTTTGTTCCCAAAGTGAAAGGAGGGATGAAACGTGCGAGAGCGAAGCTCACCTCTTGGACGGGCAGGTGTGCGAGTGCGTGGGCGTGTGTGGGCGTGTTGGCCTGAGGAGGGCGCGGGGCGAGCCGCTTGGGGGTGCGAGCGGCCGCCTCGGGTGGCGGGGCCGTCGCCATTGCCTCCGCCTTCTCCTTCTTGGACGCCACTTCCGCCTCCACGCCTTCGCGCTTCTCGATGCCGTCGGGCGGTCCTGCTACTGGAGTGGGTTCCGTCCCCGCTGCCGCTGCCGCCGCCGCCGCCGCCGCCGCTGCCGGGGCTATCTCGGTCTTCGCCTGCGCCTGCATTTGCACCTGTCGACAAGAACAAGACAATTAGCGACTTCATACATTTATGACAAGATTTAGAATGATAAAGTGATAAAGAGCGAGTGAGATAGTAAGTTTTGTTAAGTTTGTTTACCACGTTTCAATTTTTGGTAGTCGGCGTTGTGTTGTGATATAACTCAAAATGTCACTGACGTGGGATTCTGATTGTCTATTGTTTATGTTTATCAAAACATATTTTAATGTCTTTGTTAATTAGATCTTCCCAAAATTTGATACCTACATATGATCACCAATGACGTTGTATGAAAATATAAAGGTTCTGCATTATACCTGTAGATAATTAAAAATGTATTGAAACGGACTAATTGCACACGTGGGAACATATTACAGTTCGTAAATCTATATTCTAATGGGGAAGATGGCTTCATACTGGAACCAACATCAAAATGCGAGGCTCTGAACTATGTGTTATATCACATGTGGCCAGGTACTGTATAAACAAACTTTTAATGTTGCTGTGTGTATTTACAATCAGAAATACTTGTTAGATCCGCATCATTTTTGCGTACGCACGGTTGTAACGTGTGCTGCAGTGGAGCGTGTGATGCAGTTTGCAATTGTGACAACTGAATTCTTCATGCCGTAATCTACAAAACTCTAATTTTTGTGTCCTTTTGATGCACCCCTGGGAATAGTTTCGTATCCAACACAGACTGAATTGGTTTCATGTACATTGACTGATTTCGTGTTTTGAGGCGAGTCAATTGATATGAATTGAATTATGCCTTATTTTACGTGGCGAGACTTGGGCCATCAGGCCCGCTCTTCTGTCTGACCACGCAAATTTTGCTACGATCCTTTCACTAGCAGAGAAAGGAGGTACTTCTTGGGCGAGAAACAGGCGATTTGAATTTAGCTCAGAGGCATCATTTAGGCTTGAGGATCTTTTACATGCAAATAAATCTACTATCATGGGCCAGCCGGCTTTATTTCCCCTCCGAAGGAAGGCGTACGAAGGATTTTTTCTCCCTTAAAAATCCACGGCTTCGATCGGGTTTGAATCCGCCAACTTGGGTGTAAAACGCTAACCGTTACACCATCGCCGCGGACAAATATGGTCATTAGTTCCGTTAGTGTAGTGCATGTTTTAACACAGGAGATAGGATTCTCCGCTGGATGGTCAGATCCGGGGTCGACACACACGCGGGTTTGCTGGATTTCCCCATCCAGGAATATGCCACTAGCGGGGCACCGCCCTACTCGGAACAAGCTCTAAGCTACTGATTGGTCTCTCGACATGTGCGGTAGTGTAGTGCATGTACGTGTAAGTAAGGGGTAAGAGTAGTTCGAGGAAGGAAAGATCGCGTCATCCGTGGCCCTTTAGAGTACTGCATCGGCATTCACCTGGCGTTTATCGGAGAAACCACGGAAAACTACGGATTGTGGCAGCCGGACTCTAGAATACTCCTCCGGGCAGCTGCTAAATTGGACCTAGCCATCTAGCTAGTGTCGAAAATCCTGCCACTGTGGGGGCTCGAACTCTAGAACATCCCTTTCAGAGATACTGCAGTGACATATGTTGATGCTCTGAGCCACTTATTCCGGTGGTTTTATGCCGATGGCGTCTTATAGATCATTCGAAACCGTAAATTCTCCCTTGAATATTGTATACAAGATAATTTCAATTTACTAATACTGTTCGTAATTCGAGTTCAGATCTTTTACAGCAAACATTTCTTGTGTTTGACATGTCTTGCATTCCATTCTACTTTTCTGCACCAGTATGCAAATTGATCCCGGACATCTGTGGGAATCCCGTCGCTGGCCTCCGAATCCGCGTGTTAAGGCCTCGTCCTGGTGCCTGCCGTCGATGTGCTCGTGCCTCCGGACATCCGGCCTAGTGGTTTTGAATGCCTTGCCGAGACCACTCCCACTTTCCTTGACTCGCGGCAGTGACCACTCGCAAGCCCTGCTGCCCTGGCAGAAGCAGCTTTCTCTCCATGGTCCCGTGCGTCTGTCAATGAGCCCTGATTCATTCATACACAGCGTTTCCCTCGCGGGATCGTGAAGAAATTTCCCTGGCTGATCCCAAAACGAGAAGGATGAGACATATGCATTGCGTTTATTTCACTTTCCATTGGCTTTCATCAGTTATAATAATAAATAAAATAATAGTAAAATAATTTAATAATAAAAGGAAATATTGTACGAATAAAATACAAGTTGTCTTGGATTTTATGAGTAATGTGTGATGAACTGGATAAAAAGTATTTCCCGAAAGTCTTTTTTTATTTTCAAAACTATTTTTGATTTGCGTTCTATATTTATTCTAAGAATTTGAAGTGTTAACATCAAGTTACAGTTTATGAAAATTATAAATATTTTACATTAGACACAGGAATGAAACTAATCGACAAGAAGTGTGGAAGTAAAAATCTTAAAGACAAAATGAAAATTAATAAAAGCTCTTTTGGATACAAGATTACCGAGAAAACTGAGTAGATGGTCTCCAACAAAGGATACTGTATTAATGCGTTTTTATAATCCTCCAGTTTTCAGAATAAACAGGATATCTTCCTTCTAGATAAAGAGAGAACCAAGTTGAAAGAGAGCAGTCAGTATTAAAAAAGAAGAATAATCTCATTATACAAGGACTTAGTCTTAATACACAGATCTATTAGAACTAAACCTATTATACGAACTAATGGCACCCTTATCATATGAATTAAAATCTGGTTTCTCTCCGCATCGAAACAAAGTTAAAGGAAACGTGTCCGGTCCACTTCAGAGTACCATTTTTCCGAAAAAGTTTGTATAAGAGTAGCAAATCTATTCAATTGGTAAGTCATAGTTCACGAAATTACAAGCTCTCCTAGAGAGAAGGAAAGAGATGAAGTAAAAGAGCAATGGGAACCAAGCTTGCTGAAATTTTAGAGCACGCCTTACAGATTAGGGTGGAAATTGAAAAGTTGAACGTTGAAGAAAGCTAGCGAGAGTGTTTGACATCTTGAATGAGCGAGTTCTCTCACATCTGACTAAAACTTCTTTGCACCTTTGTAAGAAGCCTCAATTACAGTGAAATTGTTGAGAAGAAGGAAACACCGGAGCACAAAGCAGTTACTTGGAAAGGCGGGCGTCAACCCGGGAAAGTTGTCTCTAAAACTGAATTGACGATCTCGGAGATATTTCGGCCACATTTGAAGGTAGACGACAAACTATAATATACAGTTAGATTGTGGAAAAACTATACGTAAAAACAGCTGCTTGAAACAACAAGGCGATGAATTTAAAAGTTGATTGAAAAACAACATACAAAAGTGAAGAGTAATAATAATAATGGATAAAAGCTGCGAACAAGATATTTCTGAAAAATGTACAATGATGTGAATCTTAGAGGTTAAAATTAAGATTTTAATGGTGTTTTACAATCTATTAGGCAGAAAATATGACATCTGCAGAAAAATCTCAATCGATAAGCTTACTCAAGCATAAGACCAGACAGAGCTCATATAAAGATAAAGAATCCGTTTCTGGAAGTTTACGATATTACGACTTACAGTACATGGATTTACAGTCAAAAGTAGTCTAATTGGTTTTAAAACTACCTGCAACTAATAGAGAAAAAATAATTTTGAAAGCTTCAGAATATCAAGTGTTTTCTGTTGACCTTGATTGTTTACGAGGATCAGATCATTAGTCTTTCGGTACGAAGTCAGAACCCACAACGCATCTGCTTCTACATCATGTCACGTAATGAGATTGAATGAGAATTTTGTCTGATGAAGACTGGCAGCGCAGCTGATTCGGATCTGCTCAGAAAATATAGGGATGATAGTGTACTTCAGCGCAAATACTATACTCTTATACGACCAGAGATGATATATTTGCGTTATTATCTTGTCTGTCGTATATTTATTTTAAAGTTATTTCCGTTAAATTGTTTCAGCTCTACTGAATGAATTCAGATCCTGTTACTGGCAAAATGTTATGCCAACATTGCAGACAAACATTTTGGAAAACTTGCAGTTCATTCAAAACTTCCTTTCATGGGCTTAAAACACATAGTTTTCGACTTCTGCACAATGGTAAGGTGTGTTGCAGAGTAACGTGTTCTGTAGGTGGCATGTGTCACTGCTTTTCCGGCTATTCAATACTCTGCGAACTTTCGTCTTAAATCTGTTTGACGCAGGACTGAGGGGTAATTCTTTATCCAGCAGTAGCACACTTACAGAGGTTTTGTGTCGATGTTTTTTTGTGTATAAAAGGTACAATACCGTCATCTTTTCTTCGCGTATTTTATACGGAGGGTGTGCAGCAAGATTGTGCTGCTACTTACAGTATGTTGCCAAGTTTCGTCCACCTTCACTTCAATGAGCACGTCAATCAAACGCATCAACGTTCGCCCTCACTTCAATGAGAGCGATATGGCGCAACAAAAATGTTAGTTAAAATATTTTCACTAGCTGTTATATAAACACAGTGTTTTTATGTCTATGTACGTGACAGCGTGGGCGTGGCGTAATCGAAGGAAATCGCAAGCCTGAAATGCTTGAAATGTGAAGGAATCTCGACCAACACATCGTTGGTGCACAAGAAAAGTGACACATCTAAACAAGCACGCTTAAAAACATATAATTTTATAGTAGGACGTTTTTATCCAGAGGGTAGTCATTTCTTCCGCGGCAAGAAACAGTGTTTTTCTTTTTTACCTTCACTGTCTTGTTTACTATCTGTATGAACTATTACTGTAGACCTTAATTAAGGTAACTTTATTTTACTTGTGATTTATAGTAGAAAGGGTGACTCATTTGTAAATTCCACGTTAAAAAGGCTCATGGAATATTTTCTTTTCTTTCTGATGGTTCTTTGTTCAACAATTGTGATTTCGCAATAAATCTAAAGACTTTTGCGCTAAAAAGATTAATTGTTTCATGCGAAAGTTACATAGACATAACATTGAAACGATATTAAACGATGTTACACGGTAAAAGTGGTTTGTATTGTTTATGAAAGTTTTGTCAGATTGAGAAATATGATTGAATTACATAGTACAATTGGTTGACAGAGATTATTCTAAACATTTACACTCATTCAATTTTTAACACAGTTACTCTAGGTTGAGTCGTAAGATTCACATATAATATAGGAAACTATCATGTTGCTGCAGTTTTTTGTTATTGGTAGATATTAAAATAGTATTATTATGCTATTTAGATTTACGATTTGTCTGCCTCAGCCACTTACGTAACTGCACACAGTAGTATGAAACTGCTGTTTCAATTACTAATTTACAAAATGCTGAACCACAAATTATGTATACAATAAAATAAATAAAAAGAACAAAAGGGAAATAGAATTATCAATGGGAAGTGAAACAAACCACAGGCTGAAAGCACGATATTATTCTTCAGCCATAAAGATAAAATATTATCAGACCCCCCTCCTCCAAAACAAAATTGAGTAAGTAACAAATCAAATGGGAGACTTCGTAGGTGCTACGATTCCCTTGCCATTTCAACTTCTAACCGGCATTAATAAATAACCAGAAATAATTCATGGCCACCAATATATGAATCTTGTTGAGATGTGTCGCTGCATGGACGCTCACCTGTCTGTTGGTAGCTGCGGCGTGGGCGTGCGGCTGGGTTTCGGCGGGACGAGGCGGGCTTGGGCGACGCGACGGGTGCTGCGGCGCCGGTCCCGCCCCGCCCCCGCCGCCAGGCCCAAGCCCAGTCCCAGGCCGAGCGTGAGGGCGGGTCGAGCGCGGCAGGCGCGAGTGCAGGAACGAGGGCGCGGGTCCACGGCCGGCGCGGGCGCGGGGCGGGGCCGGGGCCGAGGCGGGCGTGGCGTGGGCGTAGCGGGGCGCGGGCGGGACGGGCGCCGGGCGGGACAGCGCGGGCGCGGAGACGGGCAGGGGCGGCTCGGAGGGCCCGCCCTCGGGGTCCGCTCGCCCGTCGGGCTCCGGGCGCGGAGAGTCGCCCGCGCCGCCGCCCGCCCCCTCCGCCTCCGCGTCCTTCTCCTTCTCCTCCTGAAACGCGGCGTAGCGTCAGCCCCGCGGGCCGCATTCGTCGCGCTGATACCCTTTGCCCACGCGAACCCAATCGCTTCTTCGTTCTCTTTGCTCCCTGGGAAACGCGCGGTTACGTAGGCACTGGTGTCGGATATTTAACCCTAAATGATGTGTTTAGGAAGAAACGAAAGCAAAATCCACGCAGCAGTATTTAAAATAGGTATAGAATTCTTATGAACGTATTTTATAATTGATCAAATATACTGAAGAAAAATGATGAATTACGAGTATAATGAAATACTTCTTTATCTCTTCGGGTCGTGCTGAACATATGTGCGTGAGGAGTTGCCTAAAATCAGGGGGAAAATACACTTGTGTAATTCCGTTAAGACGATTCCACGCATTTGGCATTCGCCGAGAAACGAGTGACTGCTCACCCAATCCCCAGCTGCTTCAGCGCTCGGCAAAAGTGCGCTTCTTTTGATGAGTGCAAAATAGCGACACACGATGGATAGGGCGATCCCCCAAATGTTCGTCGCTTGGAAAATAGCAATTAACCCATCCGCACTATTAGGGATTCGGTTAGCAGTCGCTCGCCACTTGCCGAATATCGAAATTGTGGAACCTTCTTTGTACGAAATTTTCTTTTAGAGCACACGAGCATAAAGCGATCATTACCGACTCCTCTATGTGCTCTAGAAGTTTGCAACATTTAGTCTATCATTCTGTGCTTAACGTCGCGGTGTATGTTATACATTACTTGACGCCTCCGCCTTCCCACGCGCACAAAGCTCACCTTGATGTCGGCGACGATGCGCGCCACCGCGGGCTCGGCACGCGCCGTCACGCCCTTGGCCGTGACCGCTTGCAGCACGGGGGCTGCGGCAGGCGCGGGCGCGGGGACGGGGGCGGTGCTGCCCAGCAGCTGCGCGGGCCGCTTGGGCGCGTCCTCGCCCTCCACCTGGCGCGAGGCGTCGCTCTCGCCCGCGCCCGGGGCGCCGCCGCCGCCCGCGGGCGCGTCGTCCGTCGTGCTCTCCTCCGTCGTAACGTGGTCGATGCTCACCTACGAGTAGACCAGGAGGCTCAGTTGCGCCCGTAAACCGGATCTCTGGGCGATCTCAGGGCAATGTTAAACGTGTTTTGAGAGTTACGCTGTAGTTATTAACGTCATTAGGATGATAAAGAGCGAAGAACGAATGCCTTTAGCATAGTCGTGAGTACGAGGAGGAGGGATAAGAAGGCCTTCCCCCCCTTCTTCCCATGAAAATTTCGATAGCACCCCCTCAAACTACATAATATAACTTTAATTTCTGTAAATAAGATTAATTGCAAATTTACTCCCATTTAAAGCTGATAACATGGGGAATTGACACATGGAATTCGGAGAAAAAACTATCCAAAGACCATAGAAAACCGGTAAACGGTTCATAATAAAATCAATTGCAGTTAAGTTGTATTTACTTCCTAGTAAATGTGTAAATGTTCATATGTAAATAACAAATTGAGGAGACACATATAGGGCAGAAATATAATTGCCCCCTTCCACGAGAGGGGCTGCGTACGCCTCTGAGGTTGAAGATTGTAAATCGAAGCGTTACCAGAAGTAGGCAGAGTACAGTATTGAGACAAACGTGTTTTGAGGTATATGTATTTGACATATATATATATATATATATATATATATATATATATATATATATATATATATATATACAAATACATATAACTTTGCGTAATTTTCTTTTCTAAAACCTGTTTATATTATTTATGTAAAACGTTTTACAATATCTGTCTCACGTGTTGAACGTGATCAACCGCCAAGTAGTACCGTTAGGTATAGTGGATACATACTTTTGCCGACAATTCAATATATATATATGATAGAGCTCTCATGGAGTAATAAATGAGCTCCCATGCACAAGCCAGGAAACCTCCGAATTACGCTCTGCTACAGCAGCCTTGAATTCCTTAACGAAATTGTAGTGTTTCTTTTCATTGTGGGTTCTGAATATGTAAACGACAAAACAACAATTTTTGTATTAATAATATTATTTCGCAAAACATTGACGCAATTGACTCCTGTGCATATAGCTGAAGGCTTTTGAAGTGAGAAATAGCAATAAGTCATTTATATATTCATCATAAAATAATTTCTTTTACAGTTTTCGTATTTCTGATAAATAAAACGTAAGCGTTATTTACAATGTACATTCTGAAACATACCTGACCTTACAGTGTTGTCTATCAATAACAAGTAGTTACATGACAAACGTAGCTCTAGATGCTGCTTTGTAATGAGGCGTTTCTCCAGCAATGCCATCTATACGCTTACTAAGGAGTTACGCAGAGTACAAACGAAGTGGTTTAGGCCCTACAACTTACATTTTTACCAACTTTCGAGGTTAGGTTCTATAAACAAAACACATTTGTCAAAACGATTCTTTCATGTTACCACAACAAAATAGTCAACAGGAAACAAACGAGTTTGTTCTTATTGTTTAACTCGGATAGAATTAAAGATCTTTGGATATATTTACTCATACGGCGTCTTTATCAGACATCTTCCTGAACCACACTAATGCCAATAGCTTTGTATCTAATGACTTATTGACAAGTGCCATTACATTTATCTTCCTTTCTCACATTTTTTGTTAGAGGTGAAGAACTAAATTTGGTGGTTAGGATCTCTCTTGACTATTGAATTCTTAAAAATAATAGTAATGAAATTCGTAGAAATATACTCATATGTGCATGAAAAATAGAATTTGAAGTAATTATTCCTGTTACGGATTGAATAAGTAGTTTCAATCGTGGTTTTTACAATTTACATAGAGTAGCTAAATGGCAATTTTTAGAGACCTACTAGTGATTGTAATCATTACGCTGAGGAGATTTTCTCGTTCGTTATTGCTAATGTTCGATAATTTGGCGTGTCAATAATTTTCTTATTTTGTTGGTAATGGTAACAAAATATCGTACAAGCAGCAATTGCGCACCATCCGCCAAAAGCAATAGCGAATTTACGCATTCTGAGGCTCAAGGCCTTAATAAATTTTGATGCCTGTAAAATATCAGTGTTTTTTTACAATGAAATATTAAAGGTGTAAAATGTATTTAAATTTTCATTTTTAATTGTATTAATCACTTTCTACAAAGTTAATATATAATTTGTATTATTTAAGATATAATGATGAATATTACTACGATTTTTCTTGATTTTATTTTACGAAAGACTCATCGATTAGTCAAATAGTAGCAATTTATTCATGTCTCTGACATGGATGTGGAGAATACCAATATTTGATTATCTTTCCAGGCGCATTGAATTCGTAGCCCAAGATTAGGAAAAACAACGCAGGTGTAACTACTTGAATATTACTTACTTTTGGCGGTATGAAATCTCAAATCGCGAGAGCCTAGACGTAATATATTTGACCTCGGTGCATAATATGATGAATACTTAATTTTAAGGGAGAGCAAAAAACATTTTTTCAACTGGTGTAAATCAGGCATTAATGATATTCAAACGAAGGTGATATTCAAACTAATTGTGTGCAGGTTTCGTTTGAAATCGTTAATCCCTGATTTACAGCATCAGCTGAGAGTTGTTTTTTTGGTTATCCTGTAAAATTTAATCATTCATAATTTATCAGTTTATTAACCGGGGTTAAAGATATATCCGCCACTGGTCGAAAACGAACCGTTTCTCCTGCCTTCGACACACAAGGAACCCCCGACACCCCCGACCACATGGAAAAAACACCCCCTTGACATCCTTCTACTCCCTCCTCCCATAACCTAGGCCAAAGGGTGGAAACAAAAGAACTGACAAAGACGACTGAAACCACAAACTAAATACTGACCCGCGTCGAACCAAAGACAAACACTAAATATTCCCAATCCCTCCTATATCCTATTCCATTCCCCTCCTAAATCCATTCCTCTCCTTTTCCCCCACCTCCAAGCCCCTTTACAAAAACTACCCGTCACTTCCCTATCCCTGCTCCCAATCCCCGTCCCTGTACGGGGGAGAGGGGTCGCAACAAATCAGCAGACCACCAGACAGATAAATAAAACATGGACGAAGAGTCTCATTAGAGACAAGCGTACCCAACAAAACAAACTCAAGATCCTGTCCTGTCCTGTCCTGTCCTGTCCTGTCCTGTCCTGTCCTGCCTTCGAATGTCATATTTACTGGATTCGACCGTAGGAAGTGCGAGTGTGAGGAGGTGCGTCATACCTCTCCGGAAGTTTTTCGGCGCAGCTGTCGCTCGTTCTCCTCCTCCTTGCGGCGCTTCTCGCGCGCGGGGCTGGCCACCGCCGCCGCCGCGGCCCACCGCCCCGCCGCCACCGACGGGCGCCACCGCCGCGCCGGCCGCCCGCCGCCCGCCGCGCCCGGCGACGCCGCGCCCCACCGGATGTGCGGCTGCATGCGCTCTCTCGCTGCCTCCATTGCATGCTGGTGCTGATTGCGTGCTATGCGTCTGCCGCTCCGCCGCGCGCGTCCTGCCAACAACCCACCCGGCTGTTCCCACGCCTGGCGTACCGCGCTAGCGGATAATGAAGGACGGGTCGGTACATGCCGGGGGCGAACATATAAAAAGAAGACAGCCGATGAATGCGGAGATGAATGGAAATGGAGAGGAGAAAACAACACGTAGTCAATCAGAACGGCGCCGACCTCTCATCCACCAGAATACCTCGGAAATTTAATAGTCGACGACGGACGCTGTAATTAATTTACAGGACCGTAGGATAATTAGTGTGAAACGCTCGTTTGCATGAAAATATCTATACGTCGAATTGGTCTAGTACATGTATCATAATCCGCGTGAGTTTTCGGTATAGTTAGATTATATAATTGTTTCTGAGTATTTGCTGTTACAAATTTGAATAACGAAAATACTTTTAAAAAATTTCGCGTAAATAATATGAGATATATTCTTTGTAAACCAATGTATAAGTGAATTGAAGTAATAATTTACTTTCGCATTGTAGTGTTAACAAGTACACAAAACATTTTAACACAAGAAGTGGCACCGGAGTATGTATAGAGTCACCAAATAAACTGTTCGAGAAAACCATCCGTTTAAAAATTAGGTATATACCCCTTAGTATTTCGTTACCGCCACCGACGCTTTGCACTCTACAAATAATATTTTGAGATTTTCATCACTCTCGTCCCGTTACTGCAGAATAATTTGCTGCTGCGATCTACGCTTTCTTGCGTCTCTGCGACGCGATGGAATTCCGAGAATTGACAACAATTGCGTGTTTCACAGAGAATCAATTGTTTTTCGCCACATCACTTCAGTCTCTCCGATTCGCGATGCGCCCAGAAACTTCTGATGCCATTTGACCAGCGCTAGGACAGAAGTCGCTAGTGAAAAGAACAGCGGGATCCTTTTAAACGTTTTCTTTGAATGAACGATTTCAGAGTTCAGGAAATGCGTTCAAGCGCAGTCGGTTTTGAAGCTGCGACATGCGCGTGTTCGCAGAAATTCCTCACTCAGTATGTAGACTGTGTGGCCCACAACATTGTACTTTCCAGGGATTTGCAACTTTCCCCGGAATGGGTACCTGAGCAATAGCTCATTCTTCCTCACCCCCCGTAGAATAGTACAATATACGCGTTGGACTGGTATCCGGACACGCCCCGAAAGAGTGCCGAGATTGCGAATATAAAGCGATAGACATCTTCCACCCGGGTAAGCCGACTCGCCAGTTCGAAACTTTACCCAACTTGTCGGTGTTGTACCTTAGCTGTTACGCCGCCACGGGTTCGAGACAATCCTGGATCAATGCCCGTGACCCGTTGGGCGTAACCATGACAAGCCAAGAGCCCATCTGGAGCGTACCCGGGTTGTTGTGTGGATGTACCCGAGGGGATACGGAGCCCTCACTCGTCTCCTTACTGCGTCTGCTTTGCTGAGAATGTTGATTACCGGGAATCATGAGCACCCGGGGCGGGCGATTTCCAATAATCCCGCAGGTTTCCCACTGCGACCATAACCAAGGGCGGTGACGCCAATCCCGGTCCAAAGGAAGGCATAAAATCGGAGCGTATAAGCGTGAAAGAAGATCGTAATTCTTGGGCTGACATTCCGATTTAACTGTGTCTTCTTAAGGCCATGAGCCCGAAAAGTGTGGTGTGTGTGGGGGGGGGGGACAGCTAAAATCCAATCGGGAGCGTCCAGTACCATTAATTTAATTGTAAGGAAGATCCCGATTGGAAGTGTCCCGCTCTCCTGTCCCAGGATCGGCCAACTCGCGGAAGCCACCACATTTTAAAATGCTGGTTAGCGATCGGGCGTTGGCTCGCACCTGCGACGCGAAGCGGCGTGACAGCGACGAGGAGCGCGCCGGCGCCGTCCGTACGGCGCCGGGTTCTGCGGGCGGCCGAGGGCAGCGGCGGCGTGGGGGGCGCCGTTGGTCCCCCGCCGCCCACGCCCCCGCAGCCCCGCGACGCGTTGTAGTCGGGTTGACCCAGCGTGAGCTGGCGCAGAGCGCGCGCCGCCTCGTCGTCCGCGTTTTTCGTCGCGGCTCGCTGGCGCCTCGACCGCCGCCGCCCAGCGTCCTCGTCCTCGTCGCGCAGGCGTCGTCTTCGTCGTCGTCGGAAGGCAGTGCCGCCGCCCTCGCCGATGACGAGCGGCTGGTCGGCGCTGAAGCGCACGCTGCCGGGCTCCCGCGGCGCGGCGGCGGGAGGGCGCCGTGACCCCGACCCCGCCCCCGCCTCGCCCCGGCGCCGCCCCCGCCGCCACCGTGGCCGTCCTCCCCGCCGCCGCGCGGCCGCCTCCGCTGCAGACGTGGCCCGGCGCGTTGCCCTAAGGGATGCCCTGTGCAGACAGAAATACATGCCCTTCTGAAAACGAGGCACAGGGAAATGGGTGAATTCATCGCCATTTGCTATAACTGTCACGTAACTCAAAATAGCGATTTTTTCTACAGGTCGCGTTGTGTTCGTGAGTATTTGCCAATACACCATCAACATAACCCCTTTCGAAGCACGACCCCTATGTTTTTCACTAATTTCTTTTTAGTAGATAGCTAATTAGACCACAATTCTTAGTTACATGGTAGTTGCAGAAAATAGATGGTATTCTGCGTTTCGCAAAACCTTATTTCAATTATTAATCTTTAAGCTTCTTTTTTGGCATCTTATACCATCGATGCACTGCAAATTTAATACATGCAAAAAAGTAATTAGGCAGGAAAACGGTTTTCTCCCTAAGGGAAGTATTTTATTTTGCGTATGTATTATTGTTTTATTTTTAGATCTCCTCTTTCTTAAGAACTAACTTTATACTATTTTTGCCAGTAAAAATACATTTTTTGATTGAACTGAAATGACAATTATTGTTACTCAAATGACGACTTTTCTTGTGCATCGAGGATGTGCTATCCAAAACATATCACCCAAAGAAAGAAAAACGGACTGGAGGATAAATTTTGAGAACCAATGATTAAGAGGAAAGAGAAATATAGAAGGGAAGAAGAAACAAAGAGAAATAAATTAGAAAGAGAATGGCACATTTCAGAGAAACGAAAACAGAGATTGGGGTAGTGGAAGTCATGAAAACGATACGTTAACAGAATGAAGAGAGAGTGGAACGGACATGTGGATGGAGCGAGACAAAGAGAAAGAAGCAGGAAGAGAAATAGGAGGCGCGGAGGGTCTCACCTGGAGCGGCGCTTGGGCCTGCAGGGGGCCCTCGCGAGCGAGCCGCACAGCGCTGGGGCGCACACGGTAGTTAGTAGCGCGGCGCGCCCGCCGCCCGCCAGCCCGCCTGGCGGCCATCGCCCCGCGCCGCGCCCGCCGCCCCGCCGTGCTCGCCGCGCGACTTGAAGCAGTTGGCGCACAGGTCCTTGCGCCACGCGTTCTGCGCGAAGTGCGTGCACAGCGCCGCCATTGCGCCCTTCCTCTTCGCTCAGCCTTGCGCGGTCCAGCTCAGCTCGGCTCAGCTCAACTCTGCTGCGCCATGGCGCCCGCCCTGCACACAAAAAGCAACACTAGGTCAGCCTCTATGCAGAACTCTCCAAAAACTACGTTAAACTTACGAGTGTGAACATTCCTTTCTCTGGTTTAGCCACAGATATATAGAACTATATATCTGTCGGTTTAGCTATGGACGATAGTTCTAGGGCGCTGTATAAGGTCAGAATGGATTCTTGTTCAACCGGAGGGATGTTTGAGCGCTGACGCCGAACATCCGACGAACTAAATCGCCTGCATTCGCGGACTTTAAATCGTTATGTGTTGTCAACTGGCAATCGAAAACAGAGTTGATTGCCGAGAGATATGTTACAAACGAGATTTGTTTTATATAACATGAGAGAGATTAGCGTACGAAAATTTACAATTCTATGGCATTAGTGAAGTTAGGTTTAGGTTTGGCAGAAACAATCAGCAACTCATTTCATCCAATCCCATGAAATATATCAACATTTCCTATCGCGGAACTTCCCACTGATCACTTATCAATCGGCCGCTAATCAGCTCAGTCAGCGTAATAATTCGGTTCCAGAAGGTACTACTGATGCTCATCTCACTAATGCTCACCACGCTCACTGAGACGCACTGAACTCAAGCAAATTTATTGCACCATACTAGGATCGATTCCACTCTTATACTGATACCCTCAAACGTAACGTATTGCCATTATTTGCTTTCAGAATATGATAATGGTACATTAATTCATCGTAAAACTTTACATGATTTAAGTAAATTACATTATTTCAATGGAAATGTAATATAAAATTATAATTCTTTAAAACATTTTTATATATCCTACAGGAGGGGAACGCGCGTGTACGCATGGCTGGTGATATATGTCACAATGAGTCATTGCCAATGAAAATCACAGAATAATAAAATTAAACGCGAAAGATGTAGTAGGTACTTGGTACATAGTATTCAGTATTATACTTGTATTAACTGTAGCATCCACATAAGTAATACATGTGACCGGAAAATCAGCGGTCTGGTGGGTGACAGTTTAACACTCGCCCTATTGGAGTGAGGATAATGGGCTCAATCCTATTTTTGTTTAGGTAGTCTGGCCTCGGTGGTCTGATATCACTCCACAGTTTTTTTAAGTTCTATTTTTTTAATTTCTCAACTTCTCAATTAGTACTAAATAGACTGGACTGGCATTATTTTTTATGATCTACGTGCATTTCATACTACTAAAACATGACTCCAATAGATATTTCCATCGATAATTTTTTTTATTTCGTAAAAATAGATACGTCAAGAACCAATTCAATCCAGTCCTCTGTAATTTAAAGTTAACTCTTCAGCTAGACGCTCATTTGAGATACACGCAACTCGGAACTTAAAAGGTGAGTCTCGCAGCCAATCTACGAGAAAAGACCCTCGCCTTTACCAGCACGCGAAGTGACCACTGAGGGATGGTAGCCACATTGGCGTAAAGGGCATGGGAAGACCTCCTGCCCAAAAGTTCCGTTGAGGTCAAAGCCCGAAACGACAGAATCCAATCACTAGACGATTAGCGAGGCACGGACTAGCTGGTTGTGCTGCGGGGCCCGGAGAAAGTGAATGCTAATTTTCTTCATTACTCATTCCGGCGCGTTTGCAACTATTACGTTTTGCCTAAGGAATGCCAGATCCCACGCCTTGACGTTTTTTGTACAAAATAAAACGGTGACTATCAAATATACATCATGTTCTTACTTTATCACGGTGTAAGGATTAACTGCCCATCAGTAACAGTTGTATGTTAAAGAATACATGATAAATTGAGCAATTATTTTTTAAAATATTTTTTTAAAGTAGTGTAGTTTTATATCTGCATTTTAAAATGTTCCCAGGAGTCAATATTTTACTAAACGAAACACTTGAAAGCAGAGTAGTGACGTAAGGTTATAAAATATGCCATAATTTGGAATTTTCTTGAATCTTCTTCGGTAAGCAACAAATTCCTGAAATATAAAGCATTCAAACGCACCAGGGTTTGGAGCAGGTTGAAGAGAAAGAGCCAGTGGGGCCCGGGGCACGCGAACGATGTCGACCCAAACGGTGCTGCGTGCAGGTCGAGAGGAAACGAGACGAGACTGTGGCGAGAGTGCGCTGGAAATTATCGGCTGCGCGCGGGATCTCGGGCGCAGCCGGCGAGAGGAGATGGCTCGGAAACCGAGCCGGGAGATCGCGTGCGCGCGGCACGGACGCTGACGCGACCGAACCCCCTCAGGCAGGAGATTGGCACATCGCAGCGCGCTCTCCCCGGCCCAGGAGCTGCAGTCGATTCAGTCCTCGCTGGCTCCAGACTGAGAAAAATAATTGTGTGCTCTAGAACCAGTGCCGGATCTAGAGGAGCATGCCTCTCGCACACTAAAAATGTTCGTTTAGAAAGAAACTTGAGCTTCGTACTCAACTAATTTCGTGATTTTTTTGTTTAAATAGTCTTAACATACAGTGGACCCCAGACGAGAAATCACTACGCATTCATTTTCTTTTAATTTAACCATTTTGTAACGATTCTGTAGATTTGCTTTGACGTATCTTCTAGACGACAGAACATTCAGCTACAAAATTCTATTCACTAACGAGGTAACATTTACAAATTAGAGACGAGTTCACTTAAGAACTGCGCACTACTGAGTGACGGAGAATCCGCACTGGATCCGGGAAGTAAAACATCAACGGCGAAGGCGCGTAAACATGTGTGGGAAATTTTGAGCAGTGAATTTTGAAATTTTAATTTCTCTTCAGCGTACACGTTTTTTTCTTTTCCATGGAATACGATAGGCTATCCAAATTAAAATGTAATAAAGGTATTTAGATACACATCTTCGCTGAAATCAATGTGATTTCGAACACTCCTTCCTTGCGCATGTAGAAATTGTGAAATTCCAAAACCGAATTATCGGTCATTAACACTACCAGTAAGAGCTTAGGAAGTCTCCTAATCTCAGAAATATCTCGTTTTCAGGCAAGATGTATCGACTCACGTATACAATGTCAGCAAGGTCAAATGTCCTTGCGCGAAGCAGTAAGGCGTTTACCAAGTTTTAATTGCTCTGTTTTTCCAAAAAAAATAGTTTTCGAATATTAACAATTTTTATATCATTGCATTTTATTTTTAAAGAACTTTTGTATGTTGAACAAAAATATATATTCTTCCATTTTTGAAAACAAAACAAAACAAAGTTGTGTTTTTTGTTTTGAGTTGCGCAAACAGCATCTCGATACCTCAAGATGATTTCACGATATTTGCTGAGACTCAATAGGAGATTCACCCTGTATAGTACTTTCCTTTAATTATTTTTCTGTAACCGCAAGAGTTCAACTAGTATTTTGTAATTTTACTAAATTTAGTCCAAACATTAACCATATATAGATCTCATCACATCCAAAGCAGTATTCCTATCATGCATATTTTCATTTCGTGTTATAACAATTAAAAAGCTACTATTTTAAATATATTTGTGGGGTCTGAGCCGTAATGTCCCCATAAAATACTTTCTGGAATCTCCTTTACCTCAATCCCTATCTTAGTCTCGGTGTTCATGAGCAAGTAACATACAGAACGAAGTCTTGGTCTTGCCATGTGGCATAGAAATGAATTAAGTTAATTTTAGTGAGTTTTAATTTCCTAATCGTAATTTTTTAGTTAAGTAAAGAAACACGTTTGGAAAGTTAAAGAATACGTTGTATATTTAGAAAAATATAAAGTTGTATATTTTTGTAATAATTCATAAAGTTAGATTCAAAAAACACACAAAAGTTGTTTCCAAGATAGCTGGTATATAAGTAAACACTGTCTTTTGTCTTTTATTGATTGTCTCCATTCAGGTTAAAGCCATTTCACAAAATAAGACTTTTTTAAAAGATATTTTCTTGTGCAACCAAGATATCACATTTAACATTTGGCCTTTTCATGGGAATGATAATTTAGCTGACATTTACGTGATGGGTTTTAGTCAGCCTTCCACACCACAATCACAATATGAGAACGTGGGGCTAAATTCGAATCCACAAGATTATAGTGGTCCTTTCACCTCTCTGTAGACTTTACACCGGGAACACGACCGCATATTCTCCTCCCGATACGCAGAAGTAAATGTTATCCAGTTGCTACTTGTGTACCGAAAACTAAGAGGCGACCTGGAAGTAAATAGGGGGAAACCTCGAAATTTACCGTGACGCATAAATATATTGACCTTGGTGTAGTGTAGATCAGTAACCGTCGAAGTAATCCGTGCTATTAAGTTGCAAAAAAAAAAAAAAAGAAGATGAATGGTAAAATAGGTATTATGGAAAAGTAAAATCATTCCGCGTGTTAACTGTGTGTTTAGGTAAATTCAACATTTTTCGAATCCATCTACGTTGCTCCACATTTACCGTGTATATAAAGCGTTTCCATATTTGGCAACGTTGTTGATAAGAACCAAATATGCGTAATAAACATAAAACATATTTAGAACGCTGAAATTCAGTTATCAATTTGAAATTCTAGAATGTTGTGATCAAAGTGGACGTACGATGCTCTTTGCGTTCCAATACAAGGTTACATCGTGGTATCCAGTGGCCTCATAGGAATGTGCATCATGTAAAAGAAAATCGGTAAAAATACAGAACAGATTTAAGTTTCACACGCCCTAGGTTTACAGAATTTTAGTCCTATAATTATTACTATTATAACATATTTCTATAACCTTAGAATGCAATATGTTGTAAAATTTAATAAAAGCAATAGCGTGTCTTTAATATTACTCCTTGAGACCTGTCACGTGCAATATGTACATGACATTGAAAGAACAAAAAACAAATACCATCGACATTAAATTTCTGCCTCAAAGTTTAAACCAAGATAGGACTAGCGTCTCTATTTTGTTTCTGGAATTCTACTGATATTGTATGGAGGTAAACAGTATGACCTTCTATATATTTGATTAGGGTAACTGTCAGAAAACAAAAATATCTAACGACCCTAAAGCTGCATGAAGGGAAGTTCACGATTAATACGTC